TTTCATGGAGGAAGGAAGTCTGGAAGGAACTTAGATAACCTGTACACCTAAATGTCACTCGGCAGGAAGGTGTTTGTGAATGCTTGGAGATGTGCTGTCTCTCCCCAGGAAAGGAATATGTGGTATGCATCCTAGGCCTTTAGGGGAAAAAACCGCTACAAAATGGCCCTTGGATTGTTCTTGGCCACAAACCAAAATTTCAGCACAGCATCAGAGAAGATAGCTGTTGCTTACCTGACATTTTAGATATACCTGGTGGGAAAGGTCCAGACAGCAGTTTTGAGCCAGAAGACCCAAGAGGGCTTGGAGCGGCTGAGGGTGAAGGCAGTGGGGTTGCCACAGGAAGGCTGGTCCTGCCTATGAAGAGCATCAGTTACTGACTCTATTGCTTTAGTAGATACAGACTTATTCAGATCCATGCTCAGAATCATCTCAGCAGAAGTAACTGTTAGATTCATATACTCACAGCCCCATGAGAGGTCCCTGTATCTCACATCTAGGCAACCAACCCTCCGGTCCCACTTCTATACTGAAAGTCCTATGTTCTGAGAAGCCCTCAGTCTTTGGCTGATGCTACCACATCTCATTTGTGACCTCAGCATTCTTTTGAAGCTTAGAAACCCATTTGGGAGACACTCAGGAAAGTGGTCTGTCTCGTAGTGGTTATGAATCAGGTTGTGAACTGCAAGGTCAGCAGTTTGAAACTACCAGCTGTTCCGTGGGAGAAAGATGAGGCTTTCTGCTCCCGTAAAGATTTATAGCCTCGGAAACCCTGTGCACGGCACACAGCCACCACCACCAGTTGGAAAAGAAGTGCCTTGTTCATCTGTCACTCATTCTCTTCTAAACAGATTACCACCATTTAGATACAACTGGACTTCAAAAAGTTCATGGAAAATGGAATTAAAAAAGAAAAAAAAAATACAAATGCTATTTCACAATGTAAGCTCTATTAAGTTCGAGACACTTTTATAAGTAATAATGCCAGCTGTTTGGTTCATCTCTAAAGAACTTAGGGTCCTGGGAAGCTAACCATATCAATGTAGTATTTTTACATTATTAACTGGGGGAAAATGGGTTCTTTTGAAAGATTTTTAAAGATTGTTGTTGTTGTGTGCCATCGACTTCTGTGCCATATAACGGTTGTTGCTCTATTTGAGCCCATTGTTCAGCCACTGTAACGTCCCTTAGACGTTAACCTCCATTTCACCAAGCATGATGACCTTTTCCACTCACCAGTCCCTCCTGATATCATGTCCAAAGGATGTGCTACAAAGTCTCGCCATCCTAGCTTCTAAGGGGCATTCTTGCTGTACTTCTTCCAAAACAAATGTATTTGTTCTTCTGGCAGTCCATGGTACTTTCAATATTCTTCTCCAACATCATAATTCAAATGCATACATTCTTCTTCAGTTTCCCTTATTCATTGTCCAGCTTTCCCATGCATATGGGTTGATTGGAAATACCATGGCTCGGGTCAGGTCTTAGTCCTCAAGATGTCCTCTTTGCTCTTTAACACTTTAAAAGAGGTCTTTTGCAGAAGAGTTTCCTAATGTGGTACATCATTTGATTTATTGACTGCTGCTTCCTTGAGCATTGATTGTGGATCCAGGTAAAATTGAATCCTTGACAATTTCAATCTTTTCTCCATTTATCATGACGTTGTTTATTGGTCCAGTTGTGAAGATTTTTGTTTTTTTCACATTGATTTGTAATCCATACTGAAGGCTGTAGTCTTTGATCTTCATCAGCAAGTGCTTCAAGTCTTCTTTGCTTTCAGCAAGCAAGGTTGTTAATGAATGAGTCTTCCTCCAAACCTGATACCACATTCTTCTTCACATTCTTCTTAGATTATTTGCTCAGCATACAAATTGAATAAATACAATAAAGGATGCAACCCTGATGCACATCTCTCCTGATTTTAAACCAACCAGTATGCTCCTGTTCTGTCAAACAACAACTGCCTCTTGGTCTATGTACAGGGTCCACATGTATATGCTTAAATGTTCTGGAATTCCCATTTATCAAAACGTTGCCCACAACTTGTTATGATCCATAGGTCAAATGCCTTTGCATGGTAAATAAAATATAAGTAGACCTTTTTTCTGGTATTCTCTGCTTTTAACCAAGTTCAAGCTGACATCAGCAATGATATCTCTCACTTGAAGTTTCTGATTTCAGCTTAAATTTCTGGTCGTTTCCTGTGTATTTAGTTTGTTCTACCTGGTATAGTCATTGATGTACTGCTGTAACCACTTTTAAACGATCTTCAGCACAATTTTATTATGTGTGATATTAATGACATTGTTTGATAATCTCCACATTTATAAGCTCATTTTTCTTTGGAGTGGGCACAAATATGGATCTCATTCAATTGGTTAGCCAGATAGATAACTTCCAAATTTCTTGGCAGAGGTGAGTGAGTACTTCTAGTTCTGCATCAGTTTGTTGAAATATTTCCATTGGTATTCTGTCAATTCCTAATGCCCTCAGTGTAGTTTGGACTTCTTTCTTTAGTGACATCAGTTCTTGGTCATATGATACCTCCCGAAATGGTTGAACATTGACCAATTCTTTTTGGTACAGTGACTATATTCCTTTCATCTCCTTCGGGTGCTTTCTGCATTGTTCAATATTTTGACCCGATTGTTGTTGTTGTTTAGTGCCATTGAGCTGGTTCCGACCCACAGCAACCCTGTATAAGTTTCTGAGGAGCAGCTGGTGAGTCTGAACCACTGACCTTTCAGTTCAAACTGACCTTGTGGTCCAGTGCTTTATCCCACAGTGCCACAGAATCCTTCAATATTGCAACCTGAGACTTGAATTTTTCTTCAGTTCTTTCAGCTTAAGAAATGCTGAGTGTGTTCTTCCTTATGGGTTTTCTAACTCCAGGTCTTTGCGTATTTTGTCATAATATTTTACTTTGTCTTCTCAAGCTGTTGTTTGAAACTTTCTGCTCACCTCTCCCATGTCATTATTTTTTCCACTTGCTTTAGCTTTTCTACAGTCAAGAGCAAGTTTCAGAGTCTCTTCTGACACCTGTTTGGATCTTTCCTGTATTTTTAAAGACCTTTTGCTTTCTTCACGTATGATGCTCTTGATGTCATCCCCTAACTCCTCTGGTCTTTGGTCATTAGTGTTCAATGTGTCAAATCTGTTCTTGAGATAGTCTTTCAATTCAGGTGGGATATACTCAAGGTTGTATTTTCGCTGTCTTGAACTTATTTTAATTTTCTTCACCTTCAACCTGAACTTGTGTATGAACAATGATGGTATGTTCTACGGTCAGTCCCTGGCTTTGTGTTTTGACTGATGCTATTGAACTTCTCTGTTATCTCTACACAAGGCAGCAATTTGATTCCTGCGTATTCTATCTGATAAGGTCCATGTATATATAGTCACAGTTTATATTGTTGGAAAAAGGTATTTGCAGTGAATAAGTCTTTGGTCTTTCAAAATTCTATCATGTGATCTTTAGCATAATTTCTATCACCAAGGCCGTAATTTCCAACTACTATCTTTAGCGTAGTGGTTACGAATCGGGCTGGGAACCACATGGCCAGCAGTTCAAAACTACCAGCTTCTCCACGGGAGAAAGATGAGGCTTTCTGCTCCCGTAAAGATTTACAGCCTCGGAAACCCTGTGCATGGCACACAGCCGACTCAACGGCACTTAACAACAACAACAACAACAACAACATATTTCCAACTTGGATACTAATCACCAGTAATTATCACTGTATCTTGATTGCATGTTTGGCCAATTTCAGATTGAAAAAGTTGGTAGAATTCTTCAATTTCAACTTCGCTGGCTTTAGTGGTAAGATGGTAAGATCGTTTTTGAAGAACTCTTGCTTCACAAAGGTTCTAACCCCAGACTTCCAGTATGTACATAATTCTGTTCATTGGCTTTAGTGGTTGGTTTGTAAATTTGAATAATAGTGGTCTTAAATGGTCTTCCTTGTAAGCATATGAATATTATCCTAACACACACAGCATTGTACTTCAAGACAGATCTTGAAACTGAAATGCTCTTTTTGATGATGAATGCAACATTCCTCTTCAGTTTGTTCTTCCTGGCATAGTAAATCATATGACTGTCCCATTCAAAATGGCCAATACCAGTCCATTTCGGCTCACTAATGCCTAGGATATTGAAGTTTAGGTATTCCATTTCATTTCTGATGTCTTCTAATTATCCTAGATTCATACTTCATATATTCCATGTTCTGATTAGTAATGGATGTTTGTAGCTGTTTCTTTTCATTTTGAGTTGCGCCCCATTAGCAAATGAAGGTCTCGACATTTTTCCTCCATTCATGTTGTTAAGGTCAACTCTACTTTGAGGAGGCAGATCTTCCTCAGTTGTATTTTGAATGCCTTCCAATCTGAGGGGCTTATTTTCTGGCTCCATCTGACAATGTTCTGTCATTATTCATGAGGGTTTCAGTGGCCTACCTCTCTTCCTTCCTAGTATGCCTTAGTCTGGTAGCTCCTTGGAAACCTGTCCACCATTGGTTACTTGGTGGCATAGCTTCCAGCATTACAGCAACACACAAACTACCGCAGTACAACACACTTACAGATGTATGGTAGGATCCACTGGCGCATGGACATTTGCTCCAAAAATTTGGGGTGACTAGTATCTTGTTGTTGTTAAGTGCCATTGAGTTGGTTCTGATGCCCAATGACTCTGTGTCAGGTTTCTGAGGAGTGGCTGGTGGGTTTGAACCACCAATCTTGAGATTAGCAATCTACTGAGTATCCTATATATACCTTTAATCAAGAAAGGGCTGGCAACGTATTTATGAAAATAAGCTATGGATCAGACAGCCTTTTGCTCCATTTTGCATGGCATCACCATGGATGGCACCTAAAACCAACAACAATCTACATTTAACTCTTGTCCTTAGAGGAAGTGAACTGATTCATCACTTACTGCATATAGTCACTGAAGACTGGGAGACACAACTTAATGGGAATGTCTCTTTTGGCTCTAGGAATTTGAAGCCTATGTGAATTCTTCTGGAGAACATGGAATTGTGGTTTTCTCTTTGGGATCAATGGTCTCGGATATTCCAGAGAAGAAGGCGATGGAAATTGCTGAAGCTTTGGGAAAAATACCTCAGACGGTAAGATGACTTCTTCATATACTTGTACTCCCAGTATGTACATAATTCTGTTCACTGGGACTTTAGATTTGAGCTACCTTGCCCCAACTTCCCAACTATTAATCTGACAGTTATTTTTATAACTTAACTATCAACTTCTCTCTTAAACAATGGGCCACTTCATTCAGAAGTCTCAATTCCTCTAAAATACTAGAAGATGTAGAAAAGGAGAAGTTATTTAAAAGATAAAATAGCAAGGAATATTATTCCTGATTGTTGTTGGTTAGGAGACTGGAGTTACTCTCTATGTTTTTGTTTTCATAGTTGCACATTCTTTCATTTTAGTAAGGAATCTTGTCTTCAAAGTGCAGAAAAGTACAAAAGTCGTCAGCATACAGCTTGATGAGTTTTCTCAAAGCAGACACATACATGTAAGCAAGTCCCAGAACAAGAACCTGAGCACTGGCAGCCCTCAGACGCCCCCTATTCATGACACCTCCCACCTCTTCAAAGGTCATGCTTACTCAGAGAAGCCCACACTCGAGCTATTGTTAAGAGCCATTGAGTTGGTTCCGACTCACAGCAACCCTGTATAGGGTTTCTGAGGAGTAGCTGGTGGGTTTGAACTGCCTACCTTATAGTCCAGTGCATTGTCCTGCATTGTGACACCAGGACTCCATACATACACACATACATGTACAGAAACACACACATACACACACACACACACACACACACACACACACACATATATATACCTTAAGGTCAGCGGTTTGAAACTACCAGCTGCTCCGCGGGAGAAAGATCAGGCTTTCTACTCCCGTAAAGATTTACACCCTCGGAAACCTTGTACAGGGTCGCTATGGGTCGGAACCGACTCGACGGCACTTAACAACAACAACAACAACAACATATATATGTTGATGTTAAGTGCTATCAAGTTGGTTCTGACTCACAACGACCTTCCAAGCGGAGGGATTTATCTTCTGACTCTATGTATAGGGTTTCTGAGGCTATAAATCTTTGTGAAAACAGAAAGCCTCATCTTTCTTCCACGGAGTGGCTGGTGGACTCGAAAGTCAAGTGCTTATTGTACAAAGCCATTGTGCCCATACATATATAGATGGTTGTTGTTAAGTGCTGTTTAGTTGGTTCTAATTCACAGGGACGCTGCATAGGGTTTCTGAGGAGCAGCTGACCTTTCAGTTCAAGCTGACCTTGAGGTCCAGTGCTTAGTTATCCTAGAGCCCCATACCACACAGGACTCTTTCTAAATAGAAATATATATGTATATGATGCTCATTCTTTAAAATCTCTTTTCCTTTTTTGGTGTTTGCAAGGTCCTGTGGCGGTACACCGGAAGTCGGCCATCTAACCTTGCAAAGAATACAATACTTGTCAAGTGGCTGCCCCAAAATGACCTGCTTGGTATGTTGCAAGGATTTGCTGTGTAGGTCCACCTGTAACCAGATGCCAATGCGTTGACTCCAACTTCTGGCAACCCCTGTGTGTGTCAAAGTTGAACTGTGATTTTCGATGGCTGATCTTTGGGAAAGAGATCGCTGGGCCTATCTGCTGAGGCACCATTGGATAGCTTCAGATTGCTAATCTTTCTGTCAGCAGTTGAACTTGTTAACCATTTATACTGCCCAGGGACTGAGTATAGGTCAAACCAAGGTTAAGTTAAGAAAACGGCTTAAGCTGGCTGTTCTAGAGAACTTTTCTTTTTAGCTAGGAAATATGGCTGACACAGCCCGTATTGCTGGGTTTTTTTGTTTTGTTTTTCCTTTATAAAACTATTTTATTGTGTTTTCAGTGAAATTTTACATAGCAGTTTAGGTTCTCATTCAGCAATTCTTCTACACAGTATTCAGTGGCATTGGTTATGTTCTGCACAATGGGTGAATGTTCTCACTATTTGTATTCTGGTTGTTCCATTTCCATTCATCTAGTTTCCCTGCCCATTTATATTATCTTCTTTGTTGTAAAAGAATTGTTGACCATTTGGTCTCATGCAAGTGATTTTTTTAAGGAAGCAAGTACTTATGGGTGATAAAACACAGTCTTTATTTTTTGAATCAACCTATTATTTAGCTAAAAGGTGATGTCCGGGCTAGTTTTGGTTCAAGGGCAATGGTTTTGGTGAATCCTCTAGTCTTAGCTTGTGTGTGTGTGTGTGTGGTGATTTAGGGATTTGAGGTTCTAGTGCATATTTTCCTCCTATTCTTTCAGCGTCCATTGACTGTGCCCCTGACCAGAAAGTCCTGCAGCGCTGGACGCCACCTAGCCCTTGCTCCCATTGCTTTCTATCTAGTGGGGCATCTTAGGCAATCCTTTCTTAGAGATCACATTGAACATGGATGGAGAGGGTTCTCAGAGCCTGGACGTGGGAGACTGTGAAACTCAGCCACTTGACCATGGTCTCCCTCCCTGACTTGCTTCTCAGGTCATCCAAAGACTCGGGCCTTCATCACGCACTCCGGCTCTCACGGCATTTATGAAGGCATATGCAATGGCGTGCCCATGGTGATGTTGCCCTTGTTTGGGGATCAGATGGACAATGCGAAGCGTATGGAGTCCAGAGGAGCGGGGATCACCCTCAACGTCCTTGAAATGACCTCTGATGACTTAGCAAATGCCCTGAAAACAGTCATCAATGAAAAGAGGTAAGAGCGAAGGCGCAGGGGCAGAGGAATGCTGTTTGCTGAAGACCATAGTGTTCTCAAATGTGAAAACAAGTACACCCAATTTGAGGCTTATAAATAAGATTAATTCAGGGGCCGTTATTATTATAAAACCCAACCCAAACCCAATTCCAATTCATAGCTACCTTCCGGAATAGACTATAATTGCTCCATAGTGTTTCCCAGGCTGTGATCTTTAGGGAAGGAGACTGCCACATCTTTTTCCCTCAGAGTGGTTGGTGGGTTCGAACCGCTGACCTATCTGTTAGCAGCTGAGTGTTTACCACTCTGACACGGGTCACCTTATGCACTCAAAAAAAGAGGAACCTTTACTCTCTATAGAATTTACCATCGAAGTTATTTACAAGTTTATTTTTCCTGGTGGATTTAAACATTCAATTTATATATATATATATAAAATCACCACAATAAATCATCTAATCTATACATTCTTGTACATTTTAGTAAGTAGGTTGTAGATTCTGCATCTGAGGCCCCTGGTGGTCAAAGCAAAAAGTTGTTGTTAAGTGCCATCGATTCAGTTCCAACCCATAGTGACCCTGTATGGTGTTTCCAAGGAGTAGCTGGTGGGTTTGAACTTCCAACCTTGCAGTTAGCAGTCCAGTAGTTATGCCAGTTATTTCCATGAGATAATAAGACAATACCTCACCGCGTAAAATAAGGAGCTCTGGTAGCATAATGGACTGCTAACCGCAAGGTATTAAAAATGTTTTTAAGTTTTTTTTAAATGCTTTTTAAAACCGCAAGGTTAGTAGTTCAAACCTACTAGTCGCTTCAAGGGAGAAAGAGGCTTTCTGCTCCTGTTAAAATTTACAGCCTCAGAAACTCTGTATAGGGTGGTTGTGAGTCAGCACACCACCACCACATAAAATAAAAACAAGAAAGTTGCTTGGATATAGTTAAGGACAGTTGTGACGGTAAATGTCTTTTTTGTCTGTTTCTTCTCCTTTCTCATCACATGCTGTGGATACACAATCACGTCCAGTTGATTCAACACTGGGACAGTTTGATGTTTTAACCGCAGAATTAGGTGTATCCTCACTGCAGAGCTAACAGTTAAAAATAGCTTTTATTGTGATCACATACAGTTGTTTATAACTTCACCCAGGAGATAGTTCATCGTTACTGACATGAGCTGTCCCTTTATTTCTTTCTTTGATTTTAAAGAGAGTATAACCTAATTCCTTACAAAAGTATTACTACAAAATAAAAGGAAAACAATAAAAGCAACACAGGAAGCTAAGTTCACATAATTACAAACTTTAATTTTGGCTTCCTGTCTTCTTTTTTTAAGATAAAAAAAACCTTTATTATGTCTTCTCCCTATCTTCCTCCTTCTCTCCCCCTTCCCTTCCTTTTCTCTTGCCTGGCTATAATGGAAACATTTATTTGTCCCTATCAAGTTTGGGAAATCTGGTAGTGTTCCTAATTATAAAACTCCAAACCCAAGGGAATAGAATCGATTCTGATGCAGAATGACTCTGTAGGCCAGAGAAAACCCTCTCCCTAGGGTACCTGAGACTGCAAATCTGCAGGGAAGCAGACAGCCTCACCTTTTCCCCGAGGAGCAGCTGGTGGGGTTGAACAGTCCACCTTGTGGTTAGCAGAGCCCAGTGTTGAATCCACATAAAGACAGGACAGCCCATTCCCATTGGTGTTCCAGGTGCTAATTAAACTATCTCTGTGTTTAGCTACAAGGAAAATATCATGCGTCTCTCCAGCCTTCACAAGGACCGGCCCATGGAGCCGCTGGATCTGGCCGTCTTCTGGGTGGAGTTTGTGATGAGGCACAAGGGGGCACCACACCTCCGCCCCGCGGCCCACGACCTCACCTGGTACCAGTACCATTCGTTGGATGTCATTGGCTTCCTCCTGGGCATTGTACTAGTGACCACCTTCATCACCTTTAAATGCTGTGCTTTTGGCTGCCGTAAATGCTTCGGGAAAAAGGCGCCAGTGAAGAAAACCCATAAAACCCACAAATCCAAGACACACTGAGAAGTGAATAGGAAACACAGCGACAGTTTCGATCCATTTCTGATCAGTTCCAAACATGCAGAGTCAGTGTTGAATTTGTTTTAGACTATTAAAGACCTATTCTGCTATAAACTAGACATCCCAGAGTGTGTATGCTTTTAAAATGAAATCAATATAATCTTTAGTCACCCCACAGCTAAAGTTATTTGAATATGTATATTACAACCCACTCAGCAGACTCTATTAAATCTGATCATTATTTTTCTAGACTCCTGGTGTGGCACTGTAGGATCAGCACTAGACTGCGAACCATAAGGTCAGCAGTTCAAGCTCACCAGCTGCTTCTCAGAAGTCCTATACAGAGTTGCTATAAGTTGGAACTGACTTGGTGGCACTTAACAACAGTCAGCAGCTCAGAGGTTGGACAGCTCCCTCCCTTATTTGCATTACGGTTTTCTTACTTCACAACGTGGCCCAGATTGCTGTTGGAGAGCAAGTTTCAGAGGTGGTCTTGGGACTGCCATTGCTTCCAATGGTAGGTCAGACATCATTGTTTGGCTTCTACAGACCATTATGATGGTGGTGATAGTGGATATGTGTGTGGAGTCAGTTCTGAACTCATAGAGACTCTGTATAGGGTTCCCGAGGCTGTCACTCTTTACATGAATAGACAGCCTTTCATCTGTCTCCCACAGAACCGCTGGTAGTTTTAAACTGCTGACCTTGAGGTTAGCAGCCCAACTCATAACCACTATGGTACCAGAGAGTTCCTTGACCAGTATGATAGATTCCTTCAAAACCAAACCAGTATTCAAACCAAACCAAACTCTGCCATCTTTCTCACATGAAGCTACTGGTGAGTTCCAACCGTCCACCTTTCAGGTAGCAAGTGAAGCGCTTAATCACTGCACCAACAGGGTTCCTTCACCAGTAACAGCCAATCCTAATTCATGCCCCTGCTTTCTTTGTTCCATGTTGTCTATGGAAACGTTTAGTCCCTGTATGTGAAATTTACTAATGTCATAGTGTCCTTTGAGAACAGTGTATGATACCCAACTTTGGGAGAAAGGAATGATGTGATAAAATTGATGGATAGTGTACACGCCGAGGACGTAATTATTGTTTATGTCAAATGGATCCGAACTTGACAGTGTCTGCCAAGTCTATTTTCTGTGATGTTTTCCACAATGAAAAATACATTAATAAAACAAATATTAATTATGATTCTTCGGTGGTCTTCTCTTTGTTGATGTTGCATGTATTTATTGTTAAATTATTTTCCTAATTAAAAAATTATGCACGTTTATGGTGTTGGAGGAAAATATTAAAAGTACCATGGACTGCCAAATGACCAAACAGATCTGTGTTGGAAGAAGTGCAGCCAGAGTGCTCCTTGGAAGCCAGGATGGCCAGACTTTGTCTCTCAATCTTCAGACATATTGTCAGGAGGAACCAGTTCCTTGGAGAAGGATATTGTGTTTGGTAAAGTTTAGGGTTGGAGAAAAAGAGGAAGACCCCCAATTGGCACAGTGGCGGCATCAATGGACTCAGGCATAGGAACAGTAGTGAGGTTGGCCCAGGATTGGGCAGTGTTTTGTTCTCTTGTGCACAGGTCACTATGAGTCAGTATCGACTCCATGACATGTAACAACTGACAAAAAATTTTTTTCCTATTGTTGTTTTGGTGCAAGTTTACACAGCAAATTAGATTCTGATCTAACAACTTTCTACACAAATTATTCAGTGACATTAGTTATGTTTTTCACAATTGATCAACGTTCTCATAATTTTCTTTCTAGTTGCTTTTTTTCTGGTGATTTAGCTTCCCCGCTGCCTTGCCTTGTCATCTTTGCTTTAGAGTAAATGTGGACCATGTGGTTTCATACAGATGGTTTTTTTAAAGGTGCACAGTACTCATGTGTGATAGTCTACCTTATGAATCATCTGTTATTTAGCTAGAAGGTGACCTCAGGGAATGTTGCAGACCGTGAAGGCCTGGTCAGAGGTTAGAGGCCCTATAGGCCCAAGTATAACAGATCTAGCCACCTGGCAGTTAATAACAAATTATTTTTATTAATTGCAGACATGAAGCCCTTGATATACACAGATAAATGTAATATTTTCCTAAAAGTCAAGACTGTAAAATTCCAAACAGGCAAAGTTCTTCCCTAAGAGAATTCATTCAAAGTAAATTGGGTGGCTCCCTGGTTTGTTCCAAGGACAATAGGAATGCCCTACCTAAAGTGTTTCCAGGTGCTACCTATTCACCCAGGAGCCTCTTTTCCTGAAGAACCTGGGCTGGGCAGCCGACACAATGGGAATCCTCCCGATCCTCCCTTTCCTCCCTCCATTTGAGGCTAGGTGCTAAAAGGTATGTTAATTAAGCTTGAGAAACCAAGTTGCGGTCCTGAGATTCAAACCTGCAAAGTATGATGTAAAGTTGCCTGAATGTCTGGAAAAATAAGATTGACAGCTGTACCTTGTCTTGGTCCCTCCTAACTTTGTGTAAAGTACCTCCCCTAAATAAAAGGAAGGCACAGAACGAATCCAGGTGCATTACTACTGGCAAGGCGTGCGTTACAGCATGCAGGGGGCTCAGTCCAGCCTTGCAACCATACTGCCTGTTTAGCTAAGATGTTTAATATGCAGGATATTATGGCCTTCGTGGCTGAGATGTTTGCAATGCAGAATCTGCCTGATGCCAGTCCAGCATTCACTCTGGTTTCGGAGTGTCTCTTTGTCTCTCTCTTTGCGTCTCTGTGTCTCTTTTGCTATCACTATCGCCACTGGATCTCCCCTCCTCGTGAACCAAACACTCGTGAACAACACAACTATGTCGAGGTCAGACCCCGGCAAGGGAACAGTCTCAGTTCAAAGTTTAAAGAGCATCTCATAAAGTCCTCTGGTCTCAAGCAGCCCAGCAAGTGTGACTTTTGAAGAACTTGGGTTCTGGTCCACATTCCCCCCCATTCTATCAGGAGCCATCTGACAGATAATTTGAAAAATATAGACATGTACATGCACACACGTGTATACTTACACCAGAAAATAAAAATCATGATCACATGCCTCAAACCAACGCTGTTACTGTTCTTGGCAAACACACATATAAAGTGTAACTTGTGTTTTCTAACCTGCTTTCTTCACCTCCCAATACCAGAAATGCCCTTTCAACATTTTTGTGCAGCATTTAATTTATCTATTGTGGCCAAGGAAGATTCTGGGTATTTCATGATGTACTTAACTACCATTTCTGAGTGGTTTCATCTTATTGCAACCCCATAGGATAGTGTAGAGTTCCCCGATAGTGTTTCCTAGATTATAAATCATTACGGGAGCAGATGGCCTCATCTTTTCCCCATGGAATAGCTGGTGTGTTTGAACTATTGATCTTACAGTCCAACGCTTAACCCACTGTGCAAACAGGGTCTCTATGAGTTGGAATTAACGATCGTAGTGGTTTCTGGATGGTTTTACTTTCGGCTTCTTTTAGCAGCGAGTCCTCACTGACTACCCAGATGGCTAAGACTTTGCCAGGCTCATGATGATTTCTGGGGGTGGGTGCTTCACGACAGAATCACTGACTGTCTCCATTTAGGTTTCCCCGGGAGTAGACTTCAGGATGAGGATTCCAGGTGAAGTTGTTGATCCAGGAGGGTGAGGGATGTACTGGTGCAGGATGGAGTGGTGAAGGGCAGGAGGGAAGGGACGGTTGCAGGAAGTTGGCTCTCATGTAGACATGGAGAACTTCATCCTTGATAGAGTCTCTGGGAGCTGGTGCGGACCATACTTGCTGCATATGTCCCACCTGTGGAGCGAGGATGCGGGATGTAGAGCAGTCCTGTTAGTTGGGCTGAGGGCTGCTGTAAGGACCAAACTGATTTTGCCTACCTAGAAACTGCTTGACTAAACTCTAGTCAGGCTCAGGAAAGCATTTTAAATAGACAAGGCCTCAGTTATTAGTTCCCTCCAGAGG